GTCCAGTCTCCTTCCTGTTGTCTGTGTCCAGTCTCCTTCCTGTTGTCTGCATCCGGTCTCCTTCCTGTTGTCTGCATCCGGTCTCTTTCCTGTTGTCTGCGTCCAGTCTCCTTCCTGTTGTCAGTGTCCAGTCTCCTTCCTGTTGTCTGTGTCCAGTCTCCTTCCTGTTGTCAGTGTCCGGTCTCCTTCCTGTTGTCTGTGTCCAGTCTCCTTCCTGTTGTCTGCGTCCAGTCTCCTTCCTGTTGTCAGTGTCCGGTCTCCTTCCTGTTGTCTGTGTCCAGTCACCTTGTACATCTCAAAAACGAGTAGGTGTGAAGTGTACCCCACCATGAAGGGCCTCGTTCATAATAACAAAGAAGCCTCACCGACCCAAAAGGAGCACCTCTGCAGACACGGGTCAGGAGTCTGACACACGTTTTGGGGGACAGGGTTGACCCATTGGGGTACTTGAGGACAGGATGCGGTCCAGGTGAAGCTCATTTTGTTGTGCTCTGCAGAGGCAACATTGATGACAGATGATGGCAGGATGGTGGCCACCCAGCGCTGAGTGTGCCCTCACTCTGCGTCCCTCACTCCGCATCTCTGGGTCTTGTTGGGGTCTTTCTCACACTATTTCTGACTAATTCATTGTGCTTTCCCACTTGGTAGCCTACAGTCTAGTGTCAGCCTCACTTTCGTAGGAATGTTTTTGTGAAGTGCTGTCAAGCTGGTTCCAACTGACGGAGACCCTGTGTAGGGTTACTGAGGAACGGCTGGTGGGTTTGAACCACCGACCTTGTGGTTAGCAGCCCAGTGCTGATCCTACAGCGCCACATCAGGAGACCAGAAAACAGTGTGTGACTCACTTTCTTGTGCTGCTGGCTTTATTGCGGCGGTCAGGAACCAGACCTGCAATATCACCGGCATCTGCCTGTAATGTTCTGTAAAGGACCGGGTGGTCATCCACCTTTGTGATAGAGTCTGGTTTTGTTTTCCATCCCTCTTAGCATGTAAGAAGCTCTGGTCGTGTCTGTGTAGGGCTGTGGGATCAGCACTTGTCTGCTGGACACAAGGTTGGTGGTTCAAATCCCGCAGCATCTCCTCAGAAACCCTGCACAGGGTTGCCATGAGTTGGAACCGACTTGATGGCACTTAACAACAGGGCATGACTGCTTACGCACTTGGCTTCTATAAACCAAAATTTCAGTGTTTGAATCCAGCAGCCACTCGGAGGGAGAGAGGTGAGCCTGTCTGCTTCCATAAAGGTCACAGCCTTGGAAACCCCTGGGGCAGTTCTCTCCAGCAGGGTCACTGTGAGTCACAGTTCACCTGATGACAGTAGGTTTGCTTTAGTTTTAAAGATTTAAAAACGCGTCTCAGTTCAAGGGCTAGCTATAGGCATAGGCAGACCTCAGGCCAATATAGCCCTGCTTTGAGCCCTGCTCAGGCCTTCCGGAGGAGGTCCACGTGGCATGCGGGGCCTGCCAGGCAGCTGTTGGCATGTGCTGACCAGACACTAGGAGAGGTGGCTGCTGCTTGGTTTGCAGCCCCTCCCTGCCCGCTGACCTGGAGCTGTTTGTCAGGGGATGATAGAGAATGCTTCTCCTCCTTCCGCCCTACACAACTGCCTGCTTGCCATGGCCTGCATCAGTCTGCCCTTTGACCCTAGGAGAAGGGCTGGGCCTGGGCTAAGGTTGGGGCTCACGGTCCCTAAGGGAGGGCAGGTATGGGAGAGCAGCTTGGGGAGGTACAGAGGTGAAGCATTGAACAGCGTTTCCTGTAGGTGAGAACATTGCTCCCCTCTTAGCCCCCTTCCATCTCTTCTCTCTGAGGGGGCCACCGGGCTGCCCCCAGGCCACCTTGCAGCCTCAGGTCTCGGAGAGCATTGATGTTACTTTGTTGCTGTGCGGACTCTGAGACCTCATGTGACAAGAATAGAACTGACCCAAGGGTTTTCTAGGCTGTCAATTTTACGGGAGCAGATGGCAGGGTCTCTCTTCTGAGGCCCCTCTCAGTGGGCTCGAGTCTCCCAACTTTCAGTTAGTAGTCCAGCCAGCGTGTAATCCTGCGTACCACTCGGGGATTCCGTAGGAAAAGAATGCCGGAGGAGAGCCAGTCCTCAGATCTAGAATGGGTTTTGGTTTCAGATTCGCCTTCACACATAACTGGTTACATTCTAGTGATGCCAGTCACAGGTCCCTCAAATAGGACACTGACGGGGTCTTCACTGGGGGGCACTGATGATTATCAATCAGTGTTCCCATGCTCTGTTCGAACAACTGCTTCTTGGTCTAGGTACAGATTTCTTAGAAGTA